ATGTCAATAAGATTAAAAAATATTATTCATGTTTCATCAGTATAAAATTTGAATCAAAATGTAATTTCAAAAAAAAAAAAATATAGAGCAAAGCTCGGTCATCCACCAAGCTTTGCTCTATTTTTTTTTACTATCATATTATGAGTGATGATCTTTTGTACTGGAAATGAGGTATTTACCTTAGCTATCGAAGATGACGTTTATTCATTTTCATTCTTATTCGGGATATGCTTTTTTGTCTATTATACCGTATACAAATATATTGTTTTTTACACAAATCTTCAATAAAAAATAAATTATTTTGAGACGCGACAAAATCCAAAAAAAAACTACCGGGATAAGTTTAATGAATTTCATAATATTCCATTGTATTAAGGAAATCATTACACTCAATTATGTAACTCCTCTTTTATCGATGCTTTTGCTCAGATATTTCTTCAAGATACAGATATTAACGCTCGTACGAAGAATTCAAAGCGGCGCTAATGAGAGCGTTAAAAGCCGTCTCAGGCACTATAAATGCAAAATAGTGTATTCTTTGGCCTCATTCTCATTCTTTTCATTCAGCTTTAACGGGTAGAACTTTCCAATACTAATATAATGTATTTATTAAATTACGATAATGAGTATGATTTTCTTACGTCTGTCCTATAGTATAAATAATAATTTAATTATTTATTAATGTTTAATAATGATATTTTGACTTGAAAAGAACCAGTCTGTCCAAATCTGATATAAACGTGCCAGCTACACCGCCATCTATCGTCACAAGGGATTCGTAATAGGTGACAACTGTAAATGCCAGAAAGACTTTATGGTTGCCACTAGATGGTTATTTATTCCCGAATTCAAATTTTTATTTAATCATTTTCATAAAACATCTGGTACCACAATCTTCCTGCCAACAGCTTCCAATGGTAACAATCACAAATTGACAACGACAAAAGTCTAGGATAAATAAAATTTTTACAAAGTGCATGTTAAGCCTCACACGGAATACTGTTCTAATCTCTTGACTTCTTCTCTTGACTGGAAACGCATCTACAATTCCCCTTGTGTTGCAATTGTTCATGAACGACGTTATTCACTTAACATCAGCTGAACCGCGTGCTAGTTTGCCCCCTCTTGTATAAAAAACCATGGATTTTATGGGCATATAATTGTGATGATGACGATGATGATGATGATAACGTTAGTAAACTTAAGTAACCAATTTAGTTAAATTTTATTGAAAAATGCCGATAACCCTCTGAAGTCAAGCAGTTAAAGAAATACATGTTAAACCAAACCCAGAGAGAGACAAATCAGTGATAAAAATATAGCTTCATTATCCTAATTCAAGCAACAATGCAATCTTATATTTATATTTATATGTAAATAGCTTATGATTGTTAACATTTCAAATCAGAACAAAAGCAAAATAATTTGATCTTACTAAATAATAATAAAGGGTTAAGTAAAATGTCCTAAATTATGTCAACATTTTAAGGTTCTTCATTTAGAAGTTAGGAATCTGATTTTTTAGGAAGTCTAATTCTAATGTAACTACTTTGAAAATTTTATATTGAATCTTTCAAGTAATAATTTCATTGACAGTTAAGTTGTACTTGATATGTGACACCCCGTGCACGAAACAAAGAAAATAATATTTTAATTATAATATAACATTGTTACTTGCCATTGAAATCATTCACAACCTGTTTTAAAAATGGAGAGGTAATATTTTATGCTAGATCGTTTTGACCGCTGAGGTGTACTTGTCACAAGATGTGGAGCGTAAAACAAAGAAAAACAATATTTGTAAAGTAAGTTTTACATATTGCTTAAGGTCATTTAATAACATAAGTGTTAAAAAAACGTAAATAACCCGCATTGATTGTAAGCTGTGGTGATACTAGTGAGAATACTAGATCTCAATGATGAAATTATTGTATTTTCATCGATTCTTAATACGTCTGCAACATTTCAAATCAATCAGACTTCTAAAAGCCGGTGAAAACTGAATTACAAAATTTCATTACATTCATACATACCAAACAGGTAGCCCAGATGGTTAGCGATCGCTGCAAATTTCACAGTACGCGAGCAACCCGGGTTCGAACTCACCAGCACCAGTAAAATAGTTAATTGTAATTTCAAGTGTTGATTTACCAAGTGCTCGGTGGTGAACGAAAACATTGTGAGGAGTCCTGCATGTCTGAGAAATAAGAAAAATAATTTCAAAGTAATGTGATTTTTGCAAATTCGCATTTGCATTCTCGCATAGAGGCAGCGCGGTGGACATTTACTCGCAGTAAAAAAAAAAAAAAAAAAAAAAGTATATATATATCACTGCCATTACCGCCTCAGCCAGCATAAGAATCGTCACGTTGAATAATGTGCAGTTTCGTGGTCACTTGGATGGGAATTAGAAATTGGCTTTTAAAAAACTTGGCGTGCTCAGCAGAGCAGGACAAGATTTTATGGCGGTTCATCGCTTGCAACTTTACAAAGCGCAAGTCCGGCCTCACAAGAAATTCTATTTTAATTTCTGCGCCGGGGCATCTTAGTACCAGATCCTTCGATTCAGAGGCACCACGTAGGGATATTGCACCGCTTTGCATTTGCATCGCCGAATTTCACGAACGCGATGTGCTTTCGTGAAATTCGACGGATGGTACAAATTTACAATACCATTCATTCCATCTGGGTGCTTGGTGGTTAACCACTGAGCGTTTTACTTGGAGGTTTCTTCTTTGTACAACGTCTCCACGGAATCGTTTACCACCATTAATTTTCCGAACCGATACGACTTTATATGGATTTTAAGAAAAGAGCTCACTCCTTTCTTAAAGACCGTAAAGTTCTTCTGGTGTTACGCTTGTTCCTGAGCGGCAGTAGTCACTTCTCATCAGGTGAGTCATGAGTCATGGCTAAGATCTGCTTCCGATGGGCATCACAGAACATGGAATTAGAAAATTACATACCCTGAAGTACAACATCAGCGACAGAATCAACTATAGCTCTGGGATTGTCCGGCCAGAAGCAAAGTTTAGGATGCAAAAACAAATGCCGCATCCTATCCCAAGCGGCCGAACTATAGTAACAAACACGGCGGCAGCCTGCAGAATGCAACCGTGACGTTAGTGTCAGTGGCACTAAATTCACACTAGCGTAGCAGGGAGGAGACTCTCAAGGCTGCGACCTGAAACCGCTCAACATGGTACCACATTCCCTTGTGGTGATCATGGTGGTGATGCCTTACGCTTAAATCACGTCTGCGGGAGCGGCGATCTACAGGTGATGGCGCTCAAGGATGATTTTTATTGCCAGTTTTCCTTATTTCGATGCGTTGTCTAAACAGAGTGACGTACACACACTGTAGCTGGATTTGATCATATTCTGTATGGCGTTTACACACATTGACATGTGCGACTTCGATCAATGTATGGGCTTACGTACTACCGAGGGGTCAAGCCCTCTTTTACTGGTTCGCCAGTTCATTAGAGACCACGGTCCAGCTCCCAACTTAACGATCCTCTTTGGGGGGAGCGCGTTTGTTAGTTGGCGCTCAACGCACACGGCCCTTGTATCTGGTATTTTTAAATAAATATTGTGTGCCTTTTCCAATCTGAAATGATGTTGTTGTTGAGTTGATCGGTGTTAACTTGATACAAGTCTATGTGAAACCTAAAAAAGTGCAAGTAAAAAACTATATATAAAGAGTAACTTACTATGCAAAACAACGGTAAAAAGGGTAATAACTAAGCGACCAAGCCATTAATATGACAAACTGCTTATAACTAAATCTTTAGAAAGATCATTAAGAATACATATATATATATATATATATATATATATATATATATATATATATATATATATATATATATATAAAGGTATAAAGGTTTAACACGTCCAACGCGGAACGAGATCTTTTAGTTCTCGTTTGTGACGTTTCAGTAGCGCGCAAGTGAAATCCTATGTCCATCCCGTTTTAGCAAATGATATTTCTGTATGTTTATTTAATAATAAAGTGAGATAAATATATTTTCTGATGTTAAGTACATCGGGTGTAGTATTTTTATGAATTAAAACGAACGAGATCTGATAGTTCTCGTTGCGACCGTATAGTAAAATTTTGCTTCTAGTACGGAACAAGAACTAAAGGAGCTCGTTGCAATCTCGTGCGAAGCTTGAAAATAAACTAAATAGTGCCGTGTAAACCTTTCGATGAGTGCACATCAATTACGCTATAATCAGGATGGATAATATTATGACGAATCGCAAACGCAGTCGAAAAATGTTGGAACTTTGCTTTAGTTCTTCCGAAGAACCTAATATTGTGAATGAAAGTAATCGATCTCCAAAATCTTCATCACTATTCCGGAAAGTGTTCAAACGTGTTCCTGGAGTGCGCAAATATTTGTTACCAAGAACGTACTAATGTGTCACCATCATGCGTCCAACGTGATACATCGTGCAGCACGGAACAAAATGTGGGTAAATCTAACTTACATACATCTAACTTACCAAGTACCAGCAAACAAGGGTTCGCAGTTTGTACCGCCTAGCACACCAGATATGGACTGCATGGATTTACATACTAAAAAGATAAAAATAAAAGTGGAGATAATAATTCCAGCACCAAAATTTGCGCCTGTTTTTACAGATACTGCAATGGGCAATAATGATACTTTGCCATTAGTGCCATTGTCTTGGGGTAACTCTACTTATGGTTCTCTCAGCAATATTTCGGTGTCAAATATGCTTACCCTTGATGAGTGTTTCGATGAGTAAAAGATATCTGATCTACTTAATACACTCAAAAAGAAATAATCGTACTAGTAAAGAAAAACCAAGTTTATATTTAAATTTTGATAATACACCGAAAGAACCACAATCAGATTTGTCTGCGCCAGGTCCCCATTCAATTACCTCTTGACATGGATAAAGCAAGAAAAGCACAGTGTGCATCTACTTCTAACGTTGTTATTAAAGATAACGAGACAATTACTAGTATGAGTATTAATAGCACCCACGAAAATGATCCTGTCATTGATACAGATGATGACAGCAGTTATGCTCCTAGTACTGCTTTGGAAAGTGAATCTGATATTACTGTTATAACAACCGAAGATGAATGTGATGGAGATAGTAACAATCAGTTGAACAACGGAACACCTAAAAATATTACAACACAACTAGAAAATGTTGCAGAAGACGCTGATGGAGATGAATGGGTCGACATAGAAGATACAACTCCGGAATTTGAAGAATGCCCGCACGAATATCAATAAAATGTACCTGAAAATGTTAAGACACCAGATGAGTTATTTAGACTATTTCTAACAGATGACTAGGACAGGATGGACGGGAAAAAGATCATGGAATGAAGACCGTTTTGAAATTAATACAAAATTTAGACAAAAACGGTAGGATTATTATAACAGACAACTTTTACAACAGCGTAGAACTTGCTGAAGAACTATTAAAGAGAAAAACTTTTTTGTGTGGTACTCTCAGATCAAACAGAAGGGGCTTACCAAAGTCTGTTGTGGCAAAAAAGATAAAAAAGGGCGAAGTTATTGGAAAGATGGGAAGAACCGATGTAAAAGTTATAAAGTGGGTGGACAAAAGAGCAGTCTTAATGGTTACTTCATGCAAAAATCATAATGCAAAAATCATGATGCAAAACTTATAACTAAAACAAGATCTAGGCGAGGGAGGGAGGAACATATAAGGAAGCCAGAATGCATATTGTTTTATAATGATGGCAAAAAGGGAATTGATTACAGTGACCAAATGTCATCATTTTACAGCACCTTGAAGCGGGGAAAGAAGTGGTTTCGTAAATTGATGATGGAACTACTTTTTGGAACAGCTGTAGTAAATGCAAGGCTGGTACATAACAAAAAAAAATAAGATAGCAAAGAAAAAATTTATTGAAAGCATCATAACGAAATTCACAGGAGTTCCTTTTTGTCCCTGTTCTGTTACAGACTGGTAAACTGGTTTCTTAATTAGGTACGTGATGTTTCAATAACCAACGATAAGTATTTAATTTAGAATTCGAATATGACGTAGCATATTTTGTAAAATAATATTTTAGTCATCACAATGCTCAACGCTCAACGTAAGTTTCACTCTATACTAGCATTCAGCTCTCGCTAGCCCCAATAAAATTGTTAATTATAATTTTAAAAACGGATTTTCCACATACTCGGTGATAAGTTAAACCATCGTTAGGAAACTTCCATGTCTGAGGAATAAAAGTGTATACGGCCACTAATTTGCTAAAGCAACAATGCCGTAGTAATAACTTTACAGTACTTTCAGGGAGTTACGTTACTATTAATGGTAAAAGTAAGTTGTGACTATTTCACATATTCCAGGTTCAAATACCATTTGAAAACTGTTCTTTTATATAAACACAAAATTGGTTTTTGGGTTTGGTATTATTCCCATTGTACTAATGTTGTGGGAAGTGCGGAATCACTAAACTGACCCAACTAACTGTATTCCAAATAATTCCAAATAATTTAAATCTAGCCGTACGGGCGTAATTATAAGCATGAGTAGATAAGAAATAAGTCTTTATAATTGTCCATATATTTATCCAATTTACTGGGTCATTAATAACCGGTTGCGCGGAAAACCATTCGTATTTATTTTATATTTGACGGTAGGTGCCAAGTCGGCTATCCCTTTCCAAAAACGATATCATTCATACCCTCCTATCGACACATCGGGGTGATGGGGTGGGAGGGGAAAGAAGATGATTCTAGAACATCACGTAATCATCGGAAACGAGGATATATGAGGCACGCGCGACCGACGCGCAGCCTCTTCCCGCCGCGCTCGTCGTTGAAACCACACCGATAGTAGAAATCGCTTTAGCCTGGAAGCAGTCGAGCTCCAGGAAACCCGCCTCACCTCGTGTGAGATATAGTCGCGCACCGCCTCTCTCCGGAGTGTTCCAGAAGAAGTTCCAGAAGTCGCAGTTATAGTGCTCGACCGCATAGAAGAAACATCCCGGTGAGTCAATATCCAATATTATAGCCTGCTTGATATAATTGTTTTAACCCGCTCCAATTTTGTGTTTTCCTAATCAAGCAGGATTCCTTTCATCGATTTGGCAAATAATAGTTCGTTTCTAGGGAAGAGCGCGTGCATTGTACCGCATGCTATAGTCGTCGTTATATAAGCATAGAAGCATTTTGTAGATACAGTCCACTTAGATTAATATCTCGCGTAATAGGTTTAAGGTTCGACCGGGGAACTAGACTTCGGCAGCCTTAAACACGTGGCTCCACCATTTTATGGTTTTGCACTGGTGTTGAGTGGTCATCCAACAATTTTCTGGTCGAATAATTAGTGTTCGTAAATAGTGTAAATAGTGTTCGTTTAAATTTAAATTTTGATTAGGCACTCGCAAACAGAATTGTTTATTTCATAGCGCTCGTATTTTGTTAAATTTAAAGCTTTAAAATTGAAACAGTGTGATAGCAACCGTTTGGTACGCTTACCCGACAATCTTGTTAAAAATATTGAGTTAGCGAGCAACGCGTCGCCTCGACTGTAACAGGCGTTCGATTTAATTACGTAATACGGCATACCGAGTGTCTATCGTCCATCGTTTATGCGTGTGAGATTAATTGTGATTAATATAACTTCACTATAATAATTTAAAATGGCAGTTAGTGGAAGTGAATTTAAAATTAAAACGCTTTATGCCAAGAGGGACGTACTTTTTTCACGTATACAAAGCATTAGCGATCACGTAAAGAAAATTAATGTAGAAGCGGTGCGGGAAACTTTTCTGAATGAAATTGAAACGGTGGAGTCTTTGCGGACGGATTACGAAAGAATATTAGACCAAATTAATCATTTGGAATTACAAATCGACCCGAAATACATAGTGAACTACCAACCGCTGCAGGCATTCGAAGATATGTTGTGTCGCGTGAAAAGAACGGCAAAACTCCTACAATCTCAAAACGAAGCAAAGCCGGAATTGCAGGTACGTCCTCGTGACTCAATTAGTTTGCCGCCAATAGATATTCCGGTATTCAATGGTGATATTAAGACGTGGCCCTTCTTCTTCAGTAGTTTTCAAAACAATATACACAATAACCCATCGTTATCGGACGCTGAAAAATTATATTACTTAATTAGTAAACTTAGTGGCAGGGCACAGTCGATCTGCTCGGGTTTTACACCTACAGCAAACAATTACTTATTAATATTCGAAACGCTTAAAACTAAATATGAAGATAGGAGAATGTTAGCTTCCGAATATTTGAACCAGATATTCGATCTTAAACCTATATCATCCGCGAACATCAACGGCTTAGAGCAGTTTCTAGATAAATTTGTGGCATCGGTGGCTGCACTTAAGAATTTGAAATTTAATGACCTTATGGACGTGGTGTTTCTCCATATTGCACTAAAGAAATTAGACCCCGACACCGTGCGTGCGTTTGAAATGGAGCATCGTAGCTCGAAGATGCCTTCCTTTCATTCATTAGCATCGTTCGTGCGAGATCAAATAAAGGTGATGCAGCGCTCTCCGAACGTTAAACAGGAGATTAAAAGGTGCGTCGACCGTAGACAGACTCAACCATCTAAAATAGCACGGTCGTTAACTTACATAACCGCGACGTCAACATCACTTCAGCATACTTGTATCGTATGTAAAGATAAACACGGTAATTTATATAATTGTGCGACTTTTCTTAAATATTCACGAAGCGAACGTTATAAATTAGTAAAGACAAACAACCTATGTTTGAACTGCTTAAGCGATAAGCATTTAGTTGCAAAATGCAATTCGAGTTCCGTATGTAGCAAGTGCGCCAGGAAACATCACACGCTATTACATTTTGAAAATAGCAACATAGCGGCGTCAAGTAAAGCGGACAAGGAATTCACCCCTACTAAGGTCAACGATTCTAGCGGTCGACCTGGTGATGTCGCTCTGTGCTCATTGGCAAATATGGGAGCACAACCTCCTTCAACCGTGTTACTGGGTACGGCGCGTATTTTGGTTAGGGATTCGCGTGGAAACGAACAAAGCGTCCGTGCACTGCTGGACAGCGGAGCCCAAAATAGCTTTATAACACGACAATGTTGTCAGCGCTTAGGCTTAGTAATAAATAGGTCACTTTCATGTCCTGTAGTTAAAGGCATCGGAGGTACTAGTAAAGCTACCCAAGGATATATAAATTTAAAATTTTATTCTCGGATAGATCGTAATGTTAACTTTAATATAAATGCACTAGTAGTAGATAGGGTCACTGAACGGTTGCCAACCGTTTCTGTTGACACCTCGGCAATGATTGAATTTAAAAATTTGACTCTAGCAGACGACACTTACGCCGTTCCTGGAAACGTAGACATGCTCATTGGAGCATCGCTTTTCCCTCATCTTTTGTTAAACAATAAGATCAGGGGCAACTCCTCGCATACCGCGCTTTACGCACTAGAAACCGTATTGGACTATGTTATCGTTGGCTCCGCCCCCATCATAGATAGTATTTCGGCAATCTCTTATTGTGGTATGGCTGTCGAACCGCTCGAGTCGTTAGTCCGCAAATTTTGGGAGATGTAGGAGGGGAACGTCCCACCCATAGCTAGCTCAGATGACAGGTTATGCGAGGAAATTTACCTCCGCACGACCGTTCGTGATCGCGACGGTAGATATAGTGTAGCGCTACCCTTTAAAGGAGATGTTTTATCTCTCGGCGATTCGCGTCAAATGGCGGAAAAACGTTTCTACAGCTTGGAGCGTAGGATGCTCGCTTCACCCCAGTTAAAGGAAGCTTACAACGGCGTCATTAACGAATATATAAGAGAAGGTTACATATCACTTGTGGCTTCGAAATTAGATAACTACGAAGACACACCGTCGTATTTCATACCACACCACGGGGTCATTAAGGAGGACAAACTTACATCTAAGTTACGTGTAGTGCTCGACGCTAGTGCTAAAACTAGCACTCACCTGTCGCTTAACGATATCCTCTATAGTGGGCAAAATTTACAGGGCAGTTTAATTAATATAATAGCCAATTTTCGTTTGTTTAGTATAGCACTATCCGCCGATATTCGCCAAATGTTTCTTGGCATAGGGGTCCGTGAATGCGACCGTAGATTCCAACGCATTTTATATCGTTTCGACCCAAAGGAACCTCTAATGGTGTGTGAATTTAACCGCGTTTGTTTTGGTTTAAAGTCGAGCCCATTTCATGCGTTACGCACGGTGAGACAGCTCGCTCACGATGAAGGTCCCTCTTAT